CCATGAGGTCTCGTCTATGATTCTATGATTCAATGATTCCTTCATTCCTTCCTTTCCTCTTCCTCCTATCCTTCTAGTGATCCCTTCCTGCCTTCGTTTCCTCCTCCTCCTTATTGTTATTATTATGCCACTTTTCCTTTTTTTTCTTTTGTGGCCCTGATTCACCTTCCTTCCTTCCTTCCTTCCTTCCTTCCTTCCTTCCTTCCTTCCTTCCTTCCTTCCTTCCTTCTTTCTTTCTTTCTTCTTGTTCTCTCTTTATTCTCTTATTCTCTTTCTATTCTTCCTCTTTTTATTCCTTCCTTCTTTCCTTCTTTTCCTCCTACCACTTTCTTTCTTTCTCTCCTCCCTCCCTCTTTTCCTTCCTTCCCTCCTTTCCCTCTTTTTTCTTTGCTTTTCTTTTTCCATTCTTCCTCTTTTCTTTCCTTCCTTCCTTCCTTCCTCTTTCCATCCTTCCCCATTTTCTTTTATTTCTTTCTCTCTCTTTCTCTTCCTTCCTTTTCTTCTTTCCCCTCCTTCCTTTCTCTACTTCCACCCTTTCTCTTTCCTTCCTTCCTTTCTCTTACTTCTTTCCTTTTTTCTTTTCCTTCCTCTTTCATTCCTTTCTTTTGTTCTTCTTTCTTTCGTTCCTTCCTTTCGTTTTTCTTCCTTCCTTCCTTCCTTCTTTTCTTTCTTTTGTTTGTTCCTTTCTTTCTTCTTTCTTTCCTTTCTTTCATTCCTTTCTTTCTTTCGTTCTTCTTTCTTTCTTTCATTCGTTCCTTTCGTTCCTTCCTTCCTTCCTTTCTTCTTCCTTTCCTTCTTTTCTTTCTTTCTTTCGTTCATTTCTTTCTTTCTTTCTCCTCCCTCCCTTCTTTGCCTTCCTTCCCTTTTCTATTTAATACGAAATTGCCCTTTTCCTTTTCCCCCGACGGACCGAATCCTCTTGTTATTAAAAAGTAAAGCACTTTAATAATGAAATACTTTGCAAAAAACGAGGGGAAGAGAGAGAGCGGAGGAGAGCGAAGCCTCCCCGGCAGCCCGGCAAGTGTTTAAAATGAATGAACGAGGGGAGGGGTCCCTTCCTTATTGGAAAAGGGCGGCTAAAGCCCTCCAAATCCCGCCGAGCCCTCCGTCAACACGGCCTCCGCCCCCGCAAATCCCCCTCCCTCCCGCTTTGGATATTGTATCATCCAGAGAAGAAATTAGAAGGAAAAGAAGGAGGGAAGGTGGGAACGGAGGGAGGGATGGAAGGAAGGAAAGAGCCAAGAAAGGCCGCAAATTAAAGGACGAACGAACGATCCGGAGAGGAAATTAAAAGATGAAGCTGACAGGCGGAGGAGGAGGAAAGGATCTGCCAAGAAAATGGCAATATTATATATATATATATATATGTGTGTGTGTGTGTGTGTGTGTGTGTGTGTGCGACAAAAAGGGACCCTTCTTCTTTGCAGCCTCCTTCCTTTTCAAAACGAAGGAAGGAGAAAAAGAGGAGATGGAAAAGAGCCGACCGAGGGATCGTCATTAAAAAAGCCGAGCTCCTCTTTTTCAGTTGTCAAAAAGAGGTGGAAAAAGAAGGAGAAAAGGAAGGAAGGAGAGATGGAGAAATAGATAGACAGCACAGATAGATAGACAAATTAGATATAGATATAGATAGATAGATAGACATGATAAAGAAATAGATAGAAGATAGGTAACAGATATCTAAATAAGATAGATTACATACATAGATAAATTAAATATAGACACACAGACAGACAGACATGATAAATACATAGGCAGGTAGTTTGATAGCTAATAAGATAGATAGATAGATAGATAGATAGATAGATAGATAGATAGATAGATAGATAATTAGATATAGACACAGACAGACATGATAAATACATAGGCAGGTAGTTTGATAGCTAATAAGATAGATAGATAGATAGATAGATAGATAGATAGATAGATAGATAGATAGATAGATAGATAATTAGATATAGACACAGACAGACATGATAAATACGTAGGCAGGTAGTTTGATAGCTAATAAGATAGATAGATAGATAGATAGATAGATAAATCTATATAAATAAAAATGTCATGTTAGTTCGTGCTACCATCAGAACTCAAAAACCACTGGGGGAATTGACACCAAATTTGGACACAAGACACCTAACAGTCTAATGTATGTCCTCCACTCAAAAAAATTGATTTTGTCATTTGGGGATTGTCGTTGTTGGGATTTATAGTTTGCCTACAATTAAAGAGCATTCTGAGCTCCACCAATGATGGAATTGAACCAAACATGGCATACAGGACTTCCATGACCAACAGAACACACTGGAAGGGTTTGGTGGGCGTTAACCTTGAGTTTGGGAGTTGTAGTTCAATGCGGACTCAAACAATGATGGATCTGGACCACACTTGGCACGAATATTCCATATGCCCAAATATGGACACAGATGGAGTTTGGGGGAAATACACCTTGGCATTTGGGAGTTGTAGTTACTGGGATTTATAGTTCACCTACAATCAAAGACCATTCTGAATGAACCCCACGAATGACAGAACTGGGGCAAACTTCCCACACAGAACCCCCATGACCAACAGAAAATACTTAAGGCCATCCCGTCCGACTACCTTCACCAGGGCAAGAAAACATAATCAAAGCCCTACTGACAGAGAGCCATAGATATACATAGATATATATGATTCACACACACAGATAAAGTGTTACAGATTTGAAAGGGACTCCTAAAAATGGACAATTATATGTTGCATGTTCCAGAGTAGGCAAACCAGACAATCCCTACATCAACACAGTCAAAGAAACATCAAGAAATACTGTTTACCCACAAGCAGAAAGACATTACATATATTAGAAACCAGTACTTCCTAATTAATGTATTTTCCATATCACCAGACTGGGCTACAGCAACGCGTGGCAGGGGACCGCTAGTAAATAATAATAATAATCATGATCTGTCAACTGCAAAAGGCCACCTTACTTGGATCTGCGTGCATCATTCGAAAATACATTACACAGTCCTAGACACTTGGGAAGTGTTCGACTTTTTGATACGAAATCCAGCATATAGATCTCATTTGCTGTGACATACTGTGCTTTTGTGTCAGTATAATAATAATAATAATAATAATAATAATAATAATAATAATAATAATTTCTTGCAAGCTCTGTGCAAGATTGCTCTGGCTATCTAGTCCAACACCCCTCTTCTGCTGTAAAGTGGAAGCACAATCCGATCCCTCCCGACAGAGAGGCATCCAGCTTCTCAGTAATAGTAATAATAATAATAATAATAATTATTATTATTATTATTATTATTATTATTGTTGTTATTATTATTTCCTCCAAGCTCTGTGCTTGTAATACAACTTGCATTTGGGGGAATTTTTAATAATAATAATAATAATTTATTGAAAACTCTGTGCTTGTAATACATCTTGGATTTGGGAGAATTTTAGTAATAATTATAATAATAATAATTTCTTGCAAGTTCTGTGCTTGTAATACAACTTGCATTTGGGGGAATTATTATTATTATTATTATTATTATTATTATTATTATTATTATTATTATTTCCTCCAAGCTCTGTGCTTGTAATACACCTTGCATTTGGGGGACTTTTTAATAATAATAATAGTAATAATAATAATAATAATTTCTTGCAAGTTCTGTGCTTGTAATACAACTTGCATTTGGGGGAATTTTAATAATAATAATAATAATAATTTATTGAAAGCTCTGTGCTTGTAATACATCTTGGATTTGGGAGAATTTTAGTAATAATTATAATAATAATAATTTCTTGCAAGCTCTGTGCTTGTAATACAACTTGCATTTGGGGGAATTATTATTATTATTATTATTATTATTATTATTATTATTATTATTATTATTTCCTCCAAGCTCTGTGCTTGTAATACAACTTGCATTTGGGGGAATTTTAATAATAATAATTTCTTGTGAGCTCTGTGTTTGTAATACAACTTACATTTGGGGGAATTTTAATAATAATAATAATAATAATAATAATTTCTTGCAAGAACTGTGCTTTTAATAAAACTTGCATTTGGGAGAATAATAATAATAATAATAATAATAATAATAATAATAATAAAAATAATAATAATAATTTCTTCCAGTCTCTGTGCTTGTGATACAAGTTGCATTTGAGGGAATTTACTAACAATAATTCCTTGTTTCCAAAGAGCGTCCAGACTGGGGCCCTCCTTCCTTCTTCCAAGATACAAAACGCAGGCATTTGCTTCGTTTGCAGGGACTTCCTTCCTTCCGTCTCTTTTCCATCCTTCGAAAGCGGGGGTCTCTTGGGAGAAGCCCCCTCCCCAAAAGGAAGAAAAAGGCCTGCGCTACACCAAATGCATTCCCTTTGTACTTCCTCTGCAGGAACGAACTCAGGTGGATTCATATTTCATGCAGCAAAGGATGGAAAACAGGCTCCAACTGAGACCAGGAAACATTATTATTATTATTATTATTACAATAATAATAAAATCGATTGCACCATGTTAACACCATTATTTTGTTCCTGTTTATTAATCTCATTTCCTAATTGGTTCTATAATCAAAAACATGGGCAAAGTTTATGAAACTGCCAAAACTTTGTCATTGCAAGAGGGACATCATCCTGAGCACAGAATTATTTTTGTCCCTGGGTTTTCAATGTCATTTCCTAATTGGTTCTGTCATAAAAACATGGGGGAAATTTTTACTAAACTGCCGAAACTTTGTCTTTGTGGAATAGTGGATTTTTTGATAGTTTTTCAATGACTATGTATTCTCAACTCATTCAGCTACGAAAAACAAAGTTTCTGGAGGAGAACAACTACTTTCAAAGCCAGGACCGCACAATTAAACAGGATGTATGTATATATATATCTAAAGTTTTGCTGTCCAAGAGAGCTGTTATTTCTCCCAATACAGTTCCCAGGATCCCCTGGCAGTTCAAAGTGGTGCCAAACTGTGCTAACTCTACCATGTAGATGCAAAGGGACTGACCTTGTTTCCCCACTGGCTGCCCTTGAAGCGGTCATCTTTCATCAGGAAGGACAAGATGCTTTCCATCTTCACCTCTGAGATCCTGGAAGAAAAATAGAATATATTTGTGTGTATATACACACACATATGTGTATTATTAGTATAATCATCATCATTATTATTACTATTTATTTCATTATTATAACTGTGAATTTTTTTAGTGCTGTTTGTGTTTAATTCTGTTTTAATGTTTACATATTACCCACCTCCCATAATATAAATGTATAACCTGCATCTAATAATAATAATAATAATAATAATAATAATAATAAATACATTATATGCATCTAATAAAAATAATAATGAATGTATTATGTGCACCTAATAATAATACATGCATAACATGCATCTAATAATAATAATATTAATAAATCTATAACCTGCATCTAATAATAATAAATGTATTACTTGCATCTAATAAATAATAATAATAATACCTGCATCTAATAATAATAATGATGATAATAATAAATGTATTACCTGCATCTAATTATAATAATAATGCTAATAATCATAATAATAGCATTACCTGCATCTAATTATAATAATAAATGTATTACCTGAATCTAATAATAATAATAAATGGATTACCTGCATCTAATAATAATAAATGTATTACCTGCATCTAATAGTAATAATAAATGTATTACCTGAATCTAATAGTAATAATAATACTAATAAATGCATAACCTGCATCTAATAATAACAATAAATGTATTGTGTGCGTCTAATAATAGTATTACTAATAACAATAATAAATGTAGCATGTGCATCTAATAAAATTATTTATTATGTGCATCTAATAATAATATTAATAATAATAATAAATGTAACACGTGCATCTAATAAAATTATTTATTATGTGCATCTAATAATAATAATAATAAATGTAACACATGCATCTAAAAATTTATTTATTATATGCATCTAATAATAATAAAAATAAATGTATTACTGTATTACCTGCATTTAATAATAATGCTAACAATCATAATAATAGTATTACCTGCATCTAATAATAATAAATGTATTACCTGCATCTAATAGTAATAATAATACTAATAAATGCATAACCTGCATCTAATAATAACAATAAATGTATTATGTGCATCTAATAATAATAATATTACTACTACTAATAATAAATATAGCATGTGCATCTAATAAAATTATTTATGTGCATCTAATAATAATATTATTAATAATAATAAATATAATATGTGCATCTAAAAATTTATTTATTATGTGCATCTAATAATAATAAAAATAAATGTATTACTTACATCTAATAATAATAATAATAAATGTATTATGTGAATCTAATAATAATAATAATAATAATAATAATAATAATAAATGCATTATGTGCACTTAATAGATCTATCACGATGTCTTCCTACTATTCATGGGTAGGTAATAGGGACTTCCTATTGGAGCTTAACAGCCGACTTATTATTACATTCTCTCTTGCTTTGTGTTTGAAACTATATTACGAACTAATGGCGCCGACCCCTTCGCGAAGAAGCCGCAACTCAGCGAAGCTGTTGCCACGGCAATTAAAGTGGGCTCAAACCCCGTGAAGGAGAGGCTTGTAATCTTTGCCATTTGCAAATGGGTTTGACAAGGCGACACCTTCCCGCGTTGCCGGTCGGGCTGAACATCCCTCCCTCGCAATTACGAGGGATGTTCGACCCTTAAGGACAAAAAGGGAGATTAATTGCTGTGCTGCCTTTATGATCGCGAGCGCTCTCTCTCTCTTTCTCTGTTCATAGGAGAGCAGGCGCTCTGGATTGGAAACTCACGGGATGTGATGGGAAGCCAGGAAGTGGAGGAAGGGCGTCTCGGAGGGAGAGAGGAAGAGTAGGCTGCTCCCCTGGCCGCCCATGCGCGCCGTGCGCCCCACACGGTGGATGTAGCCCTCCAGCGAGGAGGGGGGGCTGTACTTCCGGGAGGAAGAAAGGGGGAAGAAGAAGGGGGTCAATGCAAAACACACAATGCCTCGCATGTCCCAACCTCAGAGTGCAATCAGAAAGGAAGGAAGAAAGGAAGGAAGGGGGCTGTACTTCCAGGAAGAAGGAAGCAAAGAGGAAGAAGGAGGAAGGAAGAAGGGGGTTGATGCAAGGGAAGCTGTGTCATGTCCTCCCAGAGTGGAATCAGAAAGGAAGGAAGGAAGGAAGGAAGGAAGGAAGGAAGGAAGGAAGGAAGGAAGGAAGGAAGGAAGGAAAG